AAACACAATAGTTCATCAGCAGCGAAGCAGAATCAGAATGAGCCAAGCCAGAACGTGCATTGAAGAAGCAACGGTACTGTGCATTGAAAGCTAATTAATCCCAACGGCCTCATTCTAGACAAGATCTGCTCAAAAAGGAAAGCTTGTTATTAGCATTGAATCAAGAATATTGCATTCAACGTTCATCTTCTCAAGTGCTATATAAACAAGGCTTTGAAGATTATAATGGCTAATGCTCTCAAAATCTCTACACGCACAAAGCTGAACAATAATCTTCATCTACCAGTTTTGCTAAACCACAAACTCTGATACTTCATTATTGTTTAGCAATCTAGTTTCTAAGCTTCATTTTGTGTATACATCACAGTTGTGATAAAGTTTTGTAGAAAACATTCACACACATTGTTTTATACCTTTGTAAGAAAGTGTTGCCTTGACAAACCGGATTGTGGTTTGAATCAAGAAGGCTTTAGCAGTTGTTAAAGCAGTCTGTAATATTCAGTTGAATATAGTGAATTAAGACCTCGTTGGAGAGAGGCGAAATCACCTTGACGGGTGGACTGGAGTAGTTTGAGATCAAACGAACCAGGATAAAAATATCTTGTCAATTGCTTTAGATTTCAGTTTTACAATTCAACCCCCCCTTCTTGTGTTTTTCACCCCTTCACTCAGGTTTAAGTTGTACTTAGATTGAAATTGCATTGGGTAGGTCTTAAGTGAAGGAGATAAACTGGTTGGTTTATTCCTGAATTAACATCTCTTATAGTGGATTTCCTCCCTGGCTTGGTAGCCCCCAGAGTAGGTGTTGTTGCACACTGAACTGGGTAAACAATTGGCTGTGTTCTTTACTGTTTTTGTATTTACTGTCTTATAGAAAGTCAGATACGGTGTCATAACATTAAACGTGACATTGAGTATCTGCAGCCAGAATTTCAATATGGTTTGGTACTGTTCCCTAAGCCGGACCAATTCATAGATGTGAATGCCATCAAAATATTTCTCACTCACAATCAGGTACCTACTTTTCTTGGAGATGTCCTGCATTCCCTCCACACTCGTACTATGAAGAAGCGAGGAACTCTTATGTGTAGCATACCTCTACTGTCCAGGTGGTTTATTTTTCATCTTCTCCGATCAGTGATGAAGAACGAACAAGGTTTGAGGTGGTCTCAAAGGTTGATGTCACTCACTCATGCAGATATCCATTAGTGTTCTCGATCTCAGGCATATGTCACTATTATTGATTATTATGGGGAATTCCCTAATGTACCACTACTTAGTATAAGAGGGGGCATCGGTTATAACCCTTTTCTAGCTCTACGTCAGTTTAGTTATGCTCTAAGGAACGATCCTCATGATATGCTCATCCAGTGTATTGTGTTCGACTATGAGAATGATCCTCAAAATTACCATCAAAAGTTTATACGTGCTTTGGGCACGGTCAACAAGATCAATAGAAAGACTTTAGGACACAAGAATTCCATTCCTCTAGAGCCTTACCTCAGATGGATGCAGTCTCGTGCTCAAAATCTTAAAATTCCATATCCTTCTATCCTACCAGTGGTCGTAGAGCCTGTTGTTGAAGGGGATGTTTCTCATACCATTCTTCATCCTGATATACCTATTGACTTTGAAGAACTACAGAAGTCCTGGATTCAGCTCAAGGAAGAAAGAGATGCCTTCGAGGCTCAGTTCTATGCTAGTGAGAAGAAAGTACTGGAGCTGACGAAATGACTCTACGAAGAACAAAGCCTTAATGCTTATGTCAACACAAAGAGGAAGCGTCCACGGGAGACTTGAATTAACATTTTGCTTCTTTATAACTCTATTTATTGAAAGAAATTATAATTTGAGCTTATTACTAAAAATTTATTTTGTTTCCTTTTGTTTAAGCAAATTTAAATCCCGCAAAGGTCCTTGAAAACATTGCACTTGCATTTGCACATCATGCATATCATCACATAACAGGTACTTTCTAAGCAGGTTTCTCATCTTCTTGCTATTTATTTCAGTAAAAGATGGCACTCGAGCAAACTGTGAAAGAATTTCAAGCTCAGAATGATCAGTTTCAATAGATGTTCTTGGACTTAGCTAAGGGTCAGGACGAGTTGAAGACCATCATCACAAAGGGGAATAAGAAGAAGACTAAAAAGTCAGCAGTCTTTCTAAATATGGGAAGAAGATTCTAGGGTCCAGTCAGAAGGGCTCTAGATTTTGAGGTCCCCCTAAATGAAGATGATGACCAAGAGAAAGATGACGTGAGTGTGAAAGCTGAAGAGAATAACAACCTTGGCTCTGGCCAAGATTCTGATGAAGAATATTCCACTAAACAATATCCTCCTGCTGACGACAGATACAAGCAGTTGGATGATCGACTTAATGCTATGGAGATACAGAAAGTGCCTGGGCTAGACTTTAAAGAGTTGGGTGTTATCTATGGGGTTGTTATCCCTTACAAGTTCAAAGTTCATACCTTTTCCAAGTATGATGGCGTGTCTTGTCCAAAGCTTCATCTGAGATCTTATGTTCAGAAGATCCAACTCCATACTGCTGACAAAAAGTTATGGGTTCACTTCTTTCAGGAAAGTTTGTCTGGTACACAACTGGAATGGTTTTATCAGTTGGAAGGAACCAATATACATACTTGGGAATACCTGGTTGCTTCTTTTTATAAGCAGTATCAATACAATATTGACCTCGCACCGACTCGTGTGCAATTACAAATTATGACTATGGGCTCGAATGAAGGGTTTAAAGAAAATGCCCAAAAGTGGAGTGATATGGCTAGAAGAGTGCAACCTCCTCTGTCTGACAAGGAGCTAGTTGGCATGTTTATGGGAACTCTGACCATTCCTTTCCTCAATCACCTTATCGGAAGCTCCTCCTCTGGTTTTACTGAGCTGATCCTAATTAGGGAACATGTCGAAAGTGGTATCAAGAGCGGAAAAATTCAAGTGGCTGTGTCTTCGAGTGTTGTAAAGAAGACATTTAGTGGAAAGAAAGAAGCTAATGTTGTTTATGGCTAGAAGGGTCGTGTTAGAAATGACCGCAACTAGTCTGTAGGAGTGGTGTTAATCTCTAATCTTGCACCCGTTCAACAACAACAACAGGGCAATCAACATAAGTTAGATGCACCAAGAAGTCAGTTTACTAAGATCAACATGCCATTGTCTCAAGCATTGCAACATCTTCTGAAAGTGAAGTTGATAACATTAAGGGAGCCTCCTCAGAATCCTAACACCTTCTTTCCTCTCTACAATCCAAATGTGAAGTGTGCCTACCATTCCAACAGTCCTGGGCACGACACCAATAATTGTTGGGCCCTGAAAAATAAGATTCAAGATATGATTGACAACAAAGAGATTGATTTTGATCCTCCGGAGACCCCAAATGTAATTACTGTACCTATGCCGAAGCATGACAACGACATAAGTGCTATTGACAATGTTCTTTATGTTTCTACTGTAAGTGAATTGATTAATCCCCTACCATTTATCAAGAATAATCTGTTGCAGGTCAGTTTATTTTCGGGTTGTATTGAGAAATGTTACTGCTACATAGCCCAACCCAACAATTGCAAGTTACTGAAGGAAGGCATTCAACGCCTAATAGACAATCACATAATTCTGGTTGAGAAGATTTTGTTTGTTGAGAACCTATTTCAAGACTTATCTGTAATATCCGACCCTCATGTCAGATTACTTCCAAAAGTACTGTAAGGATTACTGCCAATCCATAAGCTTCTCCTCTAATCATCACTACACCTGGACCTATTCCATATTCCTCGGATAAATCTATTCCTTGGAGCTATGGATCCGACATATACTACTATGGCATCAAGCAAGAACTACTAACTACTAAAGATGAAAGTATTGAAGCTACTAATTCCAACATTGTCAACATTGTTGGTACTAGTAAGGTTACTAGAAGCGGAAGGATTTTCTCCCTGGAAATCTCTCCGAAGACTGTTGCTACACCTGTTCGAGTTACTACTACCGAGTAAACTACTGAGGCTTTGGGAAAAGAGCAAATAACGGAGACTGCCGAGATAGAGGTGCCTAAAGAAGTTATAGCTGAAGACATCTCTAGGTAAGAGATAGAGGAGGTATTGAAATTCATTTGTAAGAGCAATTACAAGATTGTTGAACAGCTGGGGCAGACCCCATTGTTGCACCATAAACTTCTCCCCTAATTTTTTAGTCGCATTATCTTATCATGTTTTGTTATTCAATCACAATCATTAATAAATATCTCCATTCATCACATTTTGCATCATTAGTCATATTTAAGTTGACCAAAAGTCAGTTTAAATCGAAGTTTGCATTGTTTTGTAGTTGACAAAAACTTGATATTTCACTTCATGCATTTTTATCTCTTTACTCGTTTCTTGCATTGCTCCAAGTTGTTTATATGTCGATAATATTAATATTTCGGTTTTACAGACAGAATATTAAAAGCGATTCAACACTAAGCGGAAAATTAGCGAGAAAATATTTCAACTTTTCATCTTTTACTGATCATTTTATGAATCTGCGTCTCGCGTAGATCATGACGGTATGCTCGCTTCATTTTTTGATACAGTTTGAAGTTTCATTTTTAACCGTAAGCGTTTGTTCAACCTGATGTTTTTATTCTCATTTTATTTCGATTTTGATCATTTGAATATTTTTTCATTAATCTTTGTGACATGTAGTTTATTTTAATGTGATCATTTCATTTTTTTCGGATAGATTAATGTCCATTTTTTTATCGTTTTTATTCATTTTGGGGTCTCTATTTTTTTATTCAGAAAATTAAAATAAAAAATATTTTCAAATATATTATTTTTTATACTTTCAGATTTTTGTGTCATTTTTATTTTTAGAGGGATTTTTGGACATAAAAAAATATATGTTAAACTAAGCTTTGTTTTGATTGGTTACAAGAGAAAGTGCAGGATCGATAGAAAAGGAAAAATAGCGGACGAAATTACAAAACAGAATTTATTTTCCTCTTCATCTTTCAATATAAGCCTCATTTTTCATTGTTCTCACAAAAAAACCAATCTTCATCCACAAAATCTCAGCATACCCATCTGTCACTCTTCTACCCATACCTCCCTTTTGCAGTGCTTCAACCTTCTTCATATTCCATACACTATACTCCCTTCATCTTGCCTTGCAAGCTTCAACACCAACGAACTTACCATCGCCCACCTTCTATCTGCTCCATTCTCCGAGCATACGCCCTCTGTATATCTTCTTCATCACCTTCGAATAACACCATCTCCCTCCTCTTCGTCAAAATACCCACACAAACACAATCTCAATAATCCACTACCACTCCTTCACTCTCGTACTCCCTTCGTTGGAACTTCAATTTCATCATCCGATTCACGGCACACACAATCTCAACAACTACTCTCTGTTAACCACCTCTCTACCGCCAATAAGATCCCTCCATCAATTCCCTCTGTAACACATACATCATCCACTTCTAACAACCTTCTTCCGCTAACTTCCATAAACTCGCAATTGTCTCGTTCAGCCTCCCCGCTTCCGCTTGCCAACTCCATTTTGTCTCAGTATCGCGACATTTTCCTGCTCGTCACTAACCCCCACGAGCCAATATCGCCTCCAACCACTTGTTTCTGCGACAACAGACTGCTCAATCTCAGCTTTCGCGTATGCACAACAACTTCTATCCAGCTTCAGATTGACAGTTTCAACGCTTTTCGGTAATATTCGGTTCCTTTTCCAGTTGTTTCTGTTAAATGGTATGCTGTTGAAATATTGTGATAATTGTTATTATGTGGTGAAAAAGAAAATAATGTGATGATCTCTGCTGAAGTTTTGGTTTGATTGATTATATTTTGTTTGCATTTATTTTCTGGAAAAAAAGATGAAACAATTTGAAATCTGTGATAGAGTATAGATTTAATGTTGAGACGATTTTGTGGAAACTGAAATATGTAAAAATAACTTGAGGTCTAACTGTCATGTTGAAATTCGTTGCGTTAAAATCAGGAAAAACAATGTTATGGTTTTGCTGTTCGTGTTTGGTGTTCATGTTAAGCAGATTGCCGTACTTTGAAACTTGTTATTTGTGCTAAGGGATGGTTTTCGAATCTGATTAAACAAGTTGTGGATGTTGTTGTTCTGTCCAAATTCATATGGGAATAAACCAATTTTAGAGTCTATAATTGAATGCTAGCATGAGTTTAACTTCTATTCTGGATGTGAAAACTACAATGATTTATGCGTACTTGCTATTGAACAGAACATATACCTCGGTTCAATTCGGAATTTTTATTGTGAATAATGGCATTAATATTGTGTTTTTTTATTTGAATCATTTCGAAAGATATTTTGATGACATTTTGTACTTTTGAGCTGAGTATGAATGTTGGAATCTTGATTGTGATAATGATGTTTTCCGTATGCATTGTATTCCTTTCGAGACAATTTTTTTAGCATTACTTCTTTCTTTTGGATATTTCTCGAAAATGAGTTCGTTTGTGATATTGATGTATTCCCGTGAGGGTTTTTTCATGTTTTAATCGACTTTTATTGTGCAATAACTGTTTTATAGAGTTGCTGCCCAAAATGTTGTTTATGGTTTTAGAGCTTGCTTTGAACTCAAATTTTTAGGTTGCAATGTGAATTGTTGATCCTTGTTGCATTTGTGATTGTAAAATCATGTTTATAAACTCAACCACTTTCATAATAAACCTCGACTTTGTCTATTGCCTTTTCTTTTAAAACTTCTTTTATTTAAACAAACTTCAATTCATTTAATCATACTTTGACATCTTTCAAAATTAACAAAAAAACACTTCAACTCATTCAAACCCTTTTGTGTGATGGAACACCTTTTATCCTTTAAAACTTTTTCCAAGATTAGACATGATTCATTTATAGTCGAGCAACATTATCCTATCCCCGTGGTTATAAATGTGTTGACATTTCCACTTAAGTACTAGAGGTGTTCTCAAACCCTCACTCACGCTGACGCATGGTCCATCTTTCTCACACCTTGTGGGCGTTAGTTGAGATTTCTCTCTTAAAAATGACGACTTGTCTCTTTGTTTAAAATAAAACAACATACAAGTCTTTTCTAGCTGAACTATGATGCTCTGACTTTCCCATTGCACGAGGGAGTACGTAGGCTCTAAGTATTACGACCCAAGACGAGCAAAAATAAAAAAAAAACATTTTCTTTTGTTTGCAAATACTCATTCATTCTTTTCCTTTAGCAAGTAAGCCTTCAGATAACACACCTTTTAAAACAAAACATACAAAGTGGATCCTGCAGAGTACCATAGATGCTTAGGGTGCTAATATCTTTCCTTTGCATAATCGACCCCCGTAACTCGATCTCTGATCTTTTATTTCATTGTGGGTTTTGTTCGCTTTTTCTCATTTCCCTTTGGAAACAATAAAGTGCGGTGGCAACTTCATTGTGTTGAGATAAGTCAATTGATAGCTTAATCTCAAATCTTTACCGCTACATCTTCTTTATGTCACATTTCATTCATTTTCACACGGTGCGACAGATTTGGCGACTTCAATGGGGACCCTTTCCTAAGTGGGTCAATCCTAGATTTGTTTGTTTCCTTTATATGAGTGCTTATATATTATTTTACTTGGTTCTCATTATTCTATATATATGTTTGTCTGGATATTCCTGGTTTTTCAGGGTGCTTCGTGATTTCTCATAAGTCTCTAGCCAGACTTGGGAAAACTTAAGATATGACAGGCGATATAGTCATGTTAATGAGATCCCCCACTCAGTGGAGGTCCCTTTGACTATAGTGTCATTTATCGAGTAATCGGGAAGACGTACTGCTTTTGACCTGGGAGCCCGCTGAAGCTGAGGACCGTAGAACCCTTAACCCATCTTGGCCTTTTAGGTGTAGTGCAGAAACTATGACGGAGTAATTCGAAAATGGTTGTCATGTGATACTATGCTCAGACGAGTTTTTCCTGAGAGTATTACTAATTATCGAGTTAATCGGGATGTTGGTAATATCTGATGGAAGTATGTAGACTCTGAGAACCTTTTAGAACCTTTGTTTGGCACGTGATAAACTATTAGTCCTTGCCTTGTGGATAGTACCTTCGACTCCATGCTCGTAAATTTGAAATGTGATCCTGTTATTGTGTTATGAATTTCATAACATTGCATATCATTTGCATCATCCGCATCATTCGTGCATACATCCAGGTTGCCCAAGATCTCATTCCCGATTGTTTCCTTCTTCCAGTTATTTTTTGATCATCAAGTGTTTTACTTAACACAACTACGGGACTAGAGCTGCCGTCAGATTGAGAATGGAAAACCAAGAAAAACATAACATGGAAGTCAGAATGGAAATCGATGAGTTGAAGTCAGGCATGGCCAAACTTAATGAGATGATGCAAGTCCTGATTTCCAGAGGAGAGCCACCTCAAAGGAATGTGATATCTGAAATCCCAACTGCTGTTGTTGACACTCAACCTATCCAGCATACATCTACTACATGCTAGAGTTTGGGATGCCTCATAACTACTCTTAGGTTGTTGCAATTACTTTAATGGTTGGCCAGTCTTCCTTACCAGTCTTTCAGGCTCTGGTTTTCACTGAACCTCAACCAATCATTCATATTGCTTCTCCTCAACCTACTACACAAGTTGCTTTTGGGAACCCTCTCTTTGAGTACCATGCTGCCAGTACTCGAAGTGTGAGTCATGGAGACTTTGGTGAGTTTGAAGAGTTCAAAGAACAATATCAGACTTTAGAAAAGAGACTTAGAGCAATGAAAGGTAATGATGTCTTAGGTATTTCTATTGAAAATATATGTTTAGTTTCTGACTTTGTGATGCCTGCAAAGTTTAAGACTCCTGATTTTGAGAAATACAAGGGGAATACTTGTACAAGAAGCCACTAGGTGATGTACTTTCGAAAGATCTTTGCTTACACAAAGAATGACAAGCTGCTTATCAATTGTTTCCAAGATAGCCTGAGTGGAGCTTCATTGAAATGGTATATGGGACTTGAGAAAGGATGTATCCAATGCTTCCAAGATCTTGTTGATGCTTTCATAAAGCAATATAAATACAACCTTGACATGGCACCTGATCATCGCCAACTGCAAAATATGTCTCAAAATGAGAAAGAATCTTTCAAGGAATATGCTCAATGATGGAGAGAATTGGCATCTCAGGTTGAACCACCTCTGGTAGAGAAAGAGCTAACTGGATTTTTCATGGATACTTTGTCCCCTTTCTTTTAGGAGAAGATGATTGGTAGTGTGTCCCCCATCTTCACAGACCTGGTGACTATTGGCCAAAGATTAGAAGAAGGAATCAAGAATGGTAAAGTGTCTAAAGTTGATGAATCTTCTAATGGTTCAAAGAAATACTTTGGGAACTTTCAGAAGAAGAAAAAGGTAGAAGCCAATGCTGTCTCGACTGAGAGAAGAGGACCCCGTCGTAGGCCTCGATACATTGATCAAACACAAGTAGCAGTTGTTTCTCCTGCGGTCAATTCTCAACTAGTTCAAGTTCCCTAACGATAGAATATTACGCAAAATCAGAATCGTAATGTAGGGAATATGGGTCAATTTGATCCCATCCCTATGACATACACTGAATTGTATCCTGAAATGACGCAGAAAGGCTTAATTACAACTAGGACTCTGATTCCTCGAAATCCTCCTCCAGCCATGTTCAGATCTGACGTTCACTGTGAGTTTCATTAGGGAGATGCCGTTTATGATTTAGAAAGCTGCTATGCATTGAAGAACAAAGTGCAAGAATTGGTGAAGGCAAATATTATCACTTTCAAAGAGGAAGGTCCTAATGTTATCAACAATCCTTTTCCAAAACAAAGTGGCTCAAGACTGAGTCGGGGTACCCTCAAGTCACTTCCTAAAGCCAATGTTTCAGAAATGACAACTCATCCTTGTTACTGATTAGTCACTAGGCCATGTTTCTTTCCGTTTGCATTTTCCTTTAATTGTATTGACTATTGCCTTCAATTTTGTTTGTACTTTCATGTTAATTTTAAGGAAATGAACATTGCAATGTTTTGATTCAAATCATTTTCATTTTACATGATTTCAAATATATTTCTCTTATTTACTTTCTTTATCAAACTTTTTTTATGCAAAGATTTGAGGGAGGATGATGAAAACGAAATACCCATAATTGTTGCTGAGGATGTACAAGCGTTGTTTCAACTCCCAAACACTAGAGAAATAAGGAAGTTAATCCCTAATTCACCCCTTTGAGCCTAGAAGTTGGAGTTTCTTTCTATACGAAAAATCCCGCGATCTTAACCTGGGGATGGGTAGTTCTCAGTTAATTTGGTTGCACATTCAATTACAAGATAAATCATGCAATACACATTTCAATAAAGGCCGTGATCAAGCATTCATTCACAAACAACAATAAGGGTCAAAGATGTCTTTTTAATCAAAAGTGACGATGATGGTCCTCTGTAATCTTTAAGCAAGGCATGTCACTATCTTTCAAAAACAAAAAAGAATAAAAAACGCTAAGTCAAAACCTATGAAGGAGACTTAGGAAAAAACTAGGGCATCCTGCTGACTGTAATCTTAAATGAAACAGTTCAGGAAAAAGTTGGGAATGACAAATTCAATCAAAAGAGGTATTCAAATCCTCAAAAATCTCCACCAGAGTCGACAAAAGTCCTCAAAATGACAAAATGATGTAAGAAGAAGTGACTTTCATCTAAAAAATTCTCTGGTTTCTGAATCATCGTCATTGCTATCGTCAGTGCAATTCCAAAATCTCTTGGAACTTGAATGCATAGTCTGAATTAACTGAACATAGGATTGAAGAACATCAAGAAGATTGAGTTGTGTGCAAATAAACTTTGAGCCTTTATTCTTTATTTCTTAAATCGTGAACCAGTCCATGTTATAACCCTCAAAAGACCTAATTGAAGTCAGGTTTCTTTTGAAAGCATACTACATTAAAGTTGCGTAAACTAACTCCTAAGATCTTTTGCGAACCATTTGTTTTGGTATCATGCCTTTGCTTTCACTTTAAAAGTATAAACCA